CTGTCTCCTGTGTCACGTATGCGTCTACATGTGTCGTTTCTGCATCTTGCTTGCTGGGGGTCGGCGGGAATGGGGGGTAGACATTAAATCCGGACTGGACGTCGTGGTTCAGTGAGGGGCACGGCTAGTCTAAAGGCTTGCCTTTATGCGGGCGCCGCCCGTGCCGCCGACCCACCCTGAAAATGGCATGTCTCCTTGCGTGAGGCTCTGGGGGGGGGCTCCGGGAGGGCTCCGAGCGGGGTCCCAAACGCGCATGCGTGGAAGTGCCGAAAACATCGTAAATGCCATGTGTTTTTGCGTTTTTGGAGGGCCGCCAAACGCCCTGGAGGGCTCATGATGCGTGACCGCACCATCGACCCTGCTTTTTGACCTTGGGCGAACATGCGAAAAAAGACCGGGGGGGGCACCCTCTCCCCAACAGGGGCGAGCATCATGAGCATCAGCGACCCGCCCCCAGGGCCACGGCAGGGCCCGGGCGCCTCAATAAATCCAGAAAACACCGTAAATACCGTATTTTTCGCGTGTTTCGACACACACCTCCTTTCGGGGCACTGCCGCGCCTCCACGGTGAGCATCATTGACACCCGAGGCTTCGGGGGGGTCAGCCGACGCCCGCGATACGCACACACAGCTAAGCATCATGAGCCCTTCATTTCTCCGCAGCCCTCGGGTCCCGGCTCCGGAGCCTCGCTGATGCTCATGATGCTCGCTTTGGGGGGGGGGGGGGGGCCGAGGGGCCGAAAACGGTTGTTTTTTGCTTGTTGCGCGAAAAACTGTTCCTTTTCTCCTCGTTATGTGGCTGCCGTGTATGCACGCAGCACCAACCGCGCCCACGTCGCGTGGGTTGGCGCTGCTCCAAGGACGGCTCCCCCAAACCGAAGCCCTGAAAGGGTGGGAGATCCAAAAAAGCTTCTAGCATGCAGACCCAGCTGATGATGCTCGCATGGGGTGGGGGGGGGGCAGTGGGGGGGTGCGGCGGGAGGTGGTGGGCGGGGGGGGGTTGGGGGGGGGGGTGGGAGGGCGGGGGTGGGAGGGGGGTGGGGGGGGGTGGGGGGGGGGGGGGGGGGGGTGGGGGGGGGGGGGGGTGGGGGGGGGGGGGGGTGGGCGCACACACGCGCACGCACACACACATGCACACGCGCTCGTGTGTGCGCTCTCGCACGCAGAGGATTATATATAGGGTTTCGGCTGTCGCTTCCTGTTCTTTATTCTCTTCTGCTTCCTGTTCTTATTATTTTTCTTTTTCTCACTTGTCTTCTTCTTTTTGTTTATTCTTTTTCTTCTTCTTCTTTCTCTTCTTCTTCTTTTTTCCTCTTGTTATTCTTCTTTCTTTTCGTTTATTCTTCTTCTTTTTCTTGTTCTTTCGTTTATTATTCTTCTGCTTCTTCTTTTTTATTTTATTATTCTTCCTTTTTTCTTTCTTTTCTTATTCTTTTCAGTCTTCTTCTTCTGTTTATTCTTCTCTTGTTTTTTCTCAGTATTCTTTCTCTTCTTCTTTTCTTCCTTTACCCCTTCTTCTTGTTGTTTTTCTTTCTTTTCTTTTCTTCATCTTTTTCTTCTTCTTTATGTTATTATTCTTCTGTTTATTCTTCTTATTCTTTCTCTTCTTCTTTTTCTTCCTTTACCGTTTCTTCTTGTTATTGTTCTTTCTCTTCTTTTCTTCTTTTTCTATTTATTGTTCTTTCTTTTCTTCTACTTCTGTTTCTTCTTATTTATCTTCTTCTTCTTCTTCTTTTCTGCTTCTTTCTTTTCTTCTTCTTTTTCTTCTTATTTCTCTTCTTCTTCCTTCTTGTTCTTTCTTTTCTTCTTCTTCTTTTTCTTCTTATTTTTATTCTTCTTCTTTCTCTTCTTCTTATTTCTTCCAACCCCTAAACCCAAACCCGAGTTTCAGCTTTCAGACGGCCAGGCCGGCCTGTGCCGCAAGGCCTGTAGATAATTACATTTAAAGGGTGTATGTATGAACGTATGAAGAGAACAGAGCGAACGCACTAATTTAATACGGTTATAAGTGAATGAAATAAGCGCATGAACCGTGCTGGTTGTAATTAGAGAAATATATTATGCATGGTGTTTACGTTATCTTCATTAATGGTGTATCATTTGTCTTTCTTTTTGTGTTTCTTCATCTTGGAAGAGCTATATCTTATGCTTTATATTTTTTTAATCCAAATACTTGGTATTTCTGGAATGATTATTTGCTTCTTCATAATGGGGACTGCATTTATCGGTTATGTTTCACCTTTAGGACAAATGAGTTTATGAGGAGTTACAACCATTGCAAACTTATTATGTCCATTTCCATCTTAAAAGAATGACTTTGTGGAGGACAATATATTTACAATCCAACATTAAAGAGGTTCTTTGTCTTTCATTTTCTATTTCAATTCCTTCTTTGTGCTTCTCTTCTTTTTCATATTTTAATCTACATTTTCCATCTTTTAGTAATCGTTTAAGGAATTCCACTAATAAGATAACATGTTTCCTTTCATTATTAGTAAAGATATTAATTCTCTATGAATATCTGCTTCAAATTCATTTCGGCTTCTCTTCTTTCTCACATCCAATTAATGCATTAGAAGCATGTGGATTACTTACTCCTTTACATATAGTACCTGCATGGTATTTCTTATGCCAAGAGGCTATGTTAAAAACTGTACCAAAAATGCAGGATTCATTATCTTATTTACTTCGATCTTCATCCTATTTTACTTTATGAGAAGTCTTTCAATGTCATTCTATTTATAATTAAGACGTCCAGTAGATTTAATGGTTTTTATCTGTGCTTTTGGTTTCTTTCACTTTTTCTTTTTTTGGATAGGTGGTAGACAACTTTCTATCTTATGGTCGTATCTTGACATTGCAGTATTTTCTTTTTACTTTCTGGTGTGTTCTCATTTCGTTCTTACATTTCGTTCATACGTTTCATGCGTCCCTGGGACCTCCCGCAGCCCCCCTAAACCCCCCTGAGACCCAACCCCCCGTTTGTTGAAACCTTTATTCCGGGCGGCTGCCGAGGCGGCGCGCGCCAGCGTTTGCAAGTTTACAATTACGCCGTTGCACTGGCGTTTCGTTGCCTGCTGGGACACTGTGTGTCTTCTGACACGCGTTGCGACTGTTCCCATGGCTTGGCATTGACGGTTGTGTCTGATCACTTTGCGCAAGACATTGCAAGACTCTGCCATGCCATGGCACTGTGGGGCAATGCGGGGCAATGCGGGGGCTCTCCTCTCCGCTCCTCTCTCCCCTGCTCTCGACATGGCTCACCAACCCTGCAGTTTGCACCAGAAGCCGCACAGGGTGAACCGGTAGCAATGAGCGCATAGACCAATGATTCAGTGGCAGGAACAGGTGCTCAGACCACCCACTCCCACACCGTAATGCGCCATGGCTTCAGTGCTTCTGCGTTGCCTTAAACCGTTAAATCATGTAATGAGGCTTTTCACGGGGATGCCGCAGTGGTCACAGAGCGTGATGGTACGCAATCCGTCCTTCAGCCCTTCCTTCTTCTGGCAGTTTGGCTTCGACCGCAACGTTAAGGCTCCCGCCACCTCGCGGCACCTCGCGCCAATCAGCGGCAACAGTGCCGCGGGCCGCAGCACAGGGAGATGTGATGAAATTGTGGGGGAATGCTTTGGTCACGTGACCTCTGCGTTTCAGGTCCTGCTCGCCACGTACTGAGGGACTTGCCGATCCATGCTGGAGTCGGACCGAGAGGGGACTGAGAGGGGACTCTTCGCGCGGGCTTGGGGGGCGACTTTCAGCGGCAGCGGCCTCTGCCGCGCGCACCAAAGTGCCCTGCGCCGGCTGTTTTGAGCGGACCAGCGCACTTCTCCTCACTGCTCCGAGGCTCCGGTCCTCTATTCAACTCTCACCTACATGCGTTTGCGTATGTTTGCATTCCGAGCAACACCTACGGGCGCTCCCTCTCTCTCTCTCTTCCTCCTTCGTATGTTCGAGAAGTCAGCCTTGTCGAGGGCAGGGCTCTCTCCATCAATTCCTCTGAAATCACGTGAGGCGATCTTTCACTGATCTTCAGCTTTTGTGATAATAAGAGACATCTGGTACTGAAGAAACCGTGCTCTCCTTTGGGTTCCCAGGAATCTTTACGACCTTTACCATTGCGGCTTCCTTCTTCTAACACTTTGATCAGGAGAAACAAAGGAACGAAGCTTCAAGTTGTATGGACACGCGATGCAAACATGCAGTTGTACTGGAGATGTGGTGCCTCAACGCGCGGCGTGTGCTTTGTTACCAGCTGGGACGTGACGTGCTGCCAGGTGCGAGGTGCTTCCGGATGCTGCCCCCATTGTTGAACTGCGCGCTCTTGCGTCATGCTTATTCCATGCTAAAAATGCTCATCTCATGCTCATTTCATGCTAATCACGAAACGCCATCTGAGTACTCATCTCTGCATTCTTTGCTATATTCAACGACAGCAACGCGGACTGGATCAAATCGCACCGCTTGCTTGAGCACTAGAGTAAGAGGTATCAAATTGAATATCAAGTTCACTCAGACATTCAATCTAGATCTTTTCTGCCGGCATGCGGCCATCAGGCTTTGAGTTCGGCTTTGTTCGCCGCGAAGCCCCTCCCTTTTGGGGGTCATGGGTTTGGAACGGTTTGGGGGTTTTGCAGGCGGAGGTGGTTTTAACGTGAGGCCTGATGCTTAAGCTTGGAACACTAGCGGTCACTAGCGATCGCATGTTCGGCAACTGTTCTCTCAGTTCTCTCTCACACGCACTCGCCCCGCTCTGCACGCACTGCACGCTCTGCATCCTTTTCTTCGGCTATGTGCAAGAGATGTCGCAGGGAAATGTGCCAAAAACTCTCTTCCCTCTCACGTCCATGGGCGGAGCTCAGCTGCCCAGCCCACAGATCTCGCGCAACTTGACCGCCTATGCCTGCCTATTCTCCCAGAACTCTTCTGCGCTTGAATTGCAAATGGTGTGTGTTAGATGTGACAAATATGGGCACGTCTCGTTCTTGTGTCTTGCGATCTTACACTGCAGAAGCGCCAGAGATGATCTCACAGAGCTCGGTGGTGATCTTGGCCTGGCGTGCCCGGTTGTATTGGAGCTCCACCTTTCCGTACATCTCCCCTGCATTCTTCGAAGCGTTCTCCATGGCGTTCATGCGCTGTGCTGTCTCCGTGGTCGTGCCTCGGAAAACTAGAGGAAAGAGCCAGGAGAATCAAAAAGAAGAACAACTTGGAGAGATTCTCCAAATTTGCGTGTTCTGCTCAAGCATGAGAACTGCGGATGAGCGACTTTGGATGACGGAACCATATATGACACATCCGTAGTAAAACTCGTGCAGGTCCTGCGCTAGAAGGCGGCAGTTTGCAAGGAGGGCATGTGAGAGGGCTGATGAAGTTAGCGATGCGCTGACATGAAGGCTGCCGAATTATGGGCTTGGCTCGCTCTCAGCTTCTGCAGAAGTCACCCTCAGTAGGTCAAATGTCTGCAGGGGCTGCAGGGGATGTTGACGTAAACAGACACAGACATCCCCCCAATTCGCTGGGGCACTGGGAATCTGGGAAAACCACGGGAGAAAACCTTGTACCCCAACATGGTAGTGCCCGGTCATGCGAGTGCAAGGCAAACCCTGCACAGGTTCAACAGCCCGAGATTTGAAAGCCGACTTGAGCTCGACTTGAGCTCGAAGTTGCAGATGGCAGAATTCTCAATGCCTTCGGGTCTTCGGGTTGCATCGCTGCTTTGCTCTATATCTCGGATTCTACAATTCAGCTTTACTAAGCTTCCTACGTGAGGGCTCAGTTGCTGGGACCCTGTGACATGCCGAGACTACTCAAGCTTTGTTCTAGCCGTTTCTAGCCCTGCTCTTTCCATCAGAAACGGTCTCCTGCCAGACTTCGTAGATGGAAGGCTCGAAAGAGTAGACGTCCATGGCTTTGGTCCACTCCCCGCGGTCCATATTGGTGGCCTGTGTAAAGCCAAGAGAAATGCAAGACCACAGGTGAAAATTGAGAATCTGTTTCTGGAACGGAAGCTGCCTCGTCAACGGTGTAGGTGTGCTTGGCGATCGTGTCGTAGGACACCATCGACTTGAACTCGTTGCTCACCACCTGCAATTGCGATGTGCAGAGTGCCTCTAAGTCACCAATACTCCCGAATCGATGATCAGCGATGGCCGAAACCATGCACTTCTCCTCTGAACCCCTCCCCCTCCCCCCGCGACTGCACGTTGCCTTCTCTCCCTCCCTCCTTTCTGCACACGCACAGGCTGCAAGGGGGAGCACTCAAGAGGTATCCAAGAGTAGCCCAGCACCTGTGAGTGAGGATGGCAGGGTGTGTAGTTTGCATTTGCACCAAGGGGACCTGTCCATCTGTGATGTCCTCATCCAAAATGCGTTGTCGCACTTGTCGTCATATGAGGAGCTGCTCCCATATCCGTGGGGCCGTGGGGCTTGCTCAGTGACCAGCGGTGCGTGCGAAGCCATCGCGCCGGGCGCGCCGCGATGGGGGGCTATTGCATGCCATGCTCCCCTGTTGGAGTCCTGGAGCACGCCCCCCACGGCCCCCACGGCTGGTGTGAAAACTCTTGATAAATGCACTGGGTATTCGAATCGATGTGGGGGCGAATCCGAACGCTGCTTCGATTTGACCACTTAGGCGTAGGCATTCCCAGGATAGATGGCCCGTATCTGCGATCCCCCTATACTCAACTCCTCCAGGAACCTCTTCTCTCCTTCTCTCTCTCTCTCTCTCTCTCTCTCTCTCGCTCTCGCTCTCGCTCTCGCTCGCTCCACACGCTTAGCCCCCCCGAGGGGCGCGCACGTCCCATGTCTTGCTTGTGTTTCCTTCCCCCTTTTTCCTTTTCTCTCTGACGCTCTCTCTCTCTCTTGCCTGCTTGCTGTGCGTATGACTCTCTCTCTCTCTTTCTCTCTTGCTTTCTTTCTTGCTTTTGCTGAGGGCCCTCGGGGGCTTCGATGGACAGATGCCATGGTCCAGTTCGAAAGTTCCGAGTTTCAAAGTTCGACAAGAATTTCGAGTTTGAAAATTTGAGGCGAGAGGCGAGAGGCGAGAGGGAGTTTGAAAGTTTGAAGACTTTTGGATCAGCCACGCGCGCGTGAAAGCAGCTTTTCGAGCTCGAAAGCTTCAACGGTGTCGAGTTTGGAGTTCGAGAACTTCTCGAGCACTTCTCGAGTCCGAAGAATGCGAAGCTTGAAAGCTTGAAAGTTTATGCGGTCGAGAGATTGAGGATTCGAGAAGGAGCTTAGCAGTTTGAGAGCCTGCGAGTTTCAAAGCTTGAAGCTTCAAACTTTGTAGTTTGCGGTCACTCGAGCACGAAAAGTTTAAGAATTTGAACGTTGTGGAGGTTCGCAGCTTGCAAGTTCGAGAGCGGCACGAGTGTGCAAGTTTGAATCAGTTTCAACGGTTTGACACCAGTCTGAAAGAAACGATTTTGAGCATGAAGTTCACATCGGAACAAAGATGAAGTCCAGACACGAGACAGAATCTGCACAGAACTAGGGGTAAGGATCCAGGGCATTTTAGGGCGCATGGTGTTTTCTTTGAGGGGAGCTAAGCCCGGCTAAGCTTAGCGGATGTGAGTTTTACGCTTTAGGGCTTCAAGGGTATCGGGGCTTCGGGTTATGCGCTTCGGGGGGGTAAGAGTGTTTTTTTTGTTTTTGCTGTGCCGGCTTTTTTGCTTTGGGGGCCTTCTGCGTTTTTTTTTTTGCTGTGGGGGCCTTGTGCGTTTCTTTTATTGCTGTGGAGGCCTTGTGCGTTTCTTTTTTTTTGCTGTGGAGGCCTTGCGTTTTTTTTTTGCTGTGGAGGCCTTGCGCGGTTTCTTTTTTGCTGTGGAGGCCTGGAGCGTTTTTTTTGCTGTGGAGGCCTTGCGCGTTTTTTTTTTTGCTGTGGAGGCTTTGCGCGTTTTTTTTGCTGTAGGGGCCTTGTGGTTTTTATTTTTGCAGTGGAGGCCTGGTGCGTTTTTCTTTTTTTGCTGTGGAGGCCTTGTGCGTTTTTTTTGCTGTGGAGCCTTTGCGCGTGTGTTTTGTTTTGCTGTGCCGGCTTTTTTACTCTGGGGGCCTCGTGCAATTTTTTTTGCTGCGGGGGCCTTCTGCTTTTTTTTTTGCTGTGGAGGCCTTGTGCGTTATTTTTTTTGCTGTGGGGGCCTTCTGCGTTTTCTTTTTGTTGCTGTGGAGGTTTTGTGCGTGTTTTTTGGCTGTGGAGGCCTTGCGCGTTTTTTTTTGCTCTGGAGGCCTTGCGCGGTTTCATTTTTGCTGTGGAGGCCTTGTGCGTTTTTTTTTTTTTGCTGTGGAGCCTTGCGCGTTTTTCTCGCGAGCCTTGGCTTTTTTTTGCTGTGGGATGCTTGCGCGTTTTCTTTTGCTGGTGGAGGCCTGGTGCGTTTTTTTTTTGCTGTGGAGGCCTTGTGCTTTTTTTTTTTTGCTGTGGAGGCTTGCGCTTTTTTTGCTGTAGGGGCCTTGTGGTCTTTTTTTTGCTGTAGGGGCCTTGTTTTTTTTTTTTTTTGCTGCGGAGGCCTTGCGCGCTTTTTTTGTTTTGCTGTGGAGGCCTTGCGCGCTTTTTTGCCGTGGAGGCCTTGCGCTTTTTTCCTGTGCTGTGGAGGCCTTGCGCATTTTTTTTGCTGTGGAGGCCTTGCGAGAAAAAAAACAACGCAGCGGGGGGTTGGGGGGGGGCGCAGCCCCCCCCCATTTGCAAACACACGGCTCGCACGATGGGTTTCAACAAGATTCATATGTTTTGCAGCACGCTTGCACGGCTAAAAATAATAAACAGCGGGGGGGTTGGGGGGGGCGTAGCCCCCCCCCCCCCTTCCGCAAACACAATGCTCGTACGATGGGTTTCGACAAGAGGCAAGCGGGGGTGGTTGGGGGGGGGGGCGCAGCCCCCCCCATTTGCAAACACACGGCTCGCACGACGGGTTTCAACAAGATTCTTATGTTTTGCAGCACGCTTGCACGGCTAAACATAAACAGCGGGGGGGTTGGGGGGGGGCGCAGCCCCCCCTTTGCAAACACAATGCTCGTACGATGGGTTTCAACAAGAGGCAGCTGGGGGGTTTGGGGGGGGGGGCAGCCCCCCCATTTGCAAACACACAGCTCGCACGACGGGTTTCAACAAGATTCATATGTTTTGCAGCACGCTTGCACGGCAAAAATAAAAAGTGGGGGGGTTGGGGGGGGCGCAGCCCCCTCCATTTGCAAACACAATGCTCGTACGATGGGTTTCAACAAGGGGCAGCGGGAGGGTTGGGGGGGGCGCAGCCCGCAGCCCCCCCCCCCCCCCCATTTGTACGACGGCCTTCAACAAGACGCATCTGCTTTGAAGCACGCTTTGCGAGGCGGTAAAACCCCAAAAAGCAGGGCGCTCACACGATGGGTTTCAACAAGATGCATATGTTTGCAGGAAGGGTTCGGGAAGGGAAGGGGGGGGGGGGGGCAGGAAGGGTT